ACTGGAGAAGGACATCATGTTTGGTAAGGTGGAGGGTCAGAGAAAAAGAGGAAGACCCCCAGTGAGATGGATTGGCTAAGTGGCAGCATTGATGGACTCAAACATGGCAACAGTAGTGATGTTCGCCCAAGATGGGACATAGTTTCGTTCTGCTGTACATAAGGTCGCTATGAGTTGGTACTGACTCGATGGCACCTAACAACAACAATAAATGTATGTAAAGGAGCTCTGGTAGTGTAGTGGTTACGAATCGGGTTGCTAACCTCAAGGTCAACAGTTCAAAACTACCAGCTGTTCCGCAGGAGAAAGATGAGGCTTTCTGCTTCCATAAAGACTTGCAGCCTCGGAAACCCTGTATAGTGTCATTAGGAGTCAGAACCGACTCCATGGTACTTAGCAACAACAACATGTGTGTAGAGTAAGAAGTTATTTGTGTTAATTTTGAAGAAGTCATTTGTGTTAAGCATACATATTAATCCGTTATGATTAATAATACTTACAATTATATGATTGTTATTGTTGTTGTTAAATGTCATAGAGTTGGTTGCGATTCATAATGACCTTGTATAGGGTTTTCGAGGATCAGTAGATGGGTTTGAAATACCAACCTTGAGGTTAGCATTCCAGTGCTTATCTTCAGTGCCATACCAGGACTCTGACGATTAATACAAATCATGTTGTTAAGCACTGTTGAGTCAGTTCTGACTCATAGTGACCCTGTAGAGGGTTTCTGAGCACTGGCTGGTTAGTTTGAACCACCGACCTTGCTGTCCAGTACTATCCTACAGTGCCAGGCTGGGAATCCCTGCAAGTACACATCCATCAGGATATCTCTGTATGAAAGAAGACAAGGTCCACTCCGGAGGCCACCAGCATGATGGCAGAGTGGACATCAGCTGACAATGTCTTGAAGTAGATGCATTATTTTAGTGGCAGAAATACTCATCCAGAAAAAAAAATCATAATTCTGAATAAGAACCATTTTCCAAGGCAGAGGTCCCAGGGTAATGTCCCAAGGGACAGATGGGAGCAGATCAGACAGCTGTGGCTAATACCCAAAATCAAGGAGACCAGTCCCAAGGGCGCAGCTCCACACTCACCATGGAGGCCCTGCTTTGCCTGCCTAAGCATTTTCTTTCTCTTGTGCGTGCTAAGCAAGTGGTATTGAAAAGTAAGAGACCTTCTTCTCCCCTTCCCCGCCTCTACCTTCCTGACATAAGGAATAGGAGAAAGAAGTAATTGAAAAGTCGAAGAAACCGTTGTTGACTTGATTCTGCTCAGTGTGAGTTTATATGATGAAGTAGAAAGGCCTAGATAGTCAGAGCCACTGGTGGATTTGAACTGCTGGCCTTTCAGTTAGCCGCTGATTGCTTAACCTTTCTAGTTGGCCCACAAATGGGTCAGAAATTAAATGTCGTGGGTCACAACTACAAGTCTTAAAGCAAACAGACAAAACAAAAGTAAATACCAGAGTGTAGATTGTACAAAGTAACTGACCAGCTGGTCAAGCTTTGCCAAGTCTTTGTTGTATCTGTTGGTTTGGGGCCAAACTAGACAGTCCCAGGTACTGGCTACTGCGTCTACCCCTTCTGCCCCACTCCCAGCCCCCACTCTTCCAAATCCAGCGGAGAGGGGCTGCTGGCCATACATATGGTTATACACGTGCCATGCTACAGGATACCTCCACGTATCACCAAACGGCCTTATCGTGTTCCCTCAAAACTGTCTTTTCCTTTCCTTTTTAATTATTTTCCTCTCCCCAAATCACTCCTCCATCCTTGTTCCTTATTTCTAACTAAGTGTCAGTTCGAACCCGTTACAATTCCTAGAGTCTTTTCGCATCTGCCCCCTCTCCACTTCCTACAACCCCTCCCAGAGACCTGGATTCCATGGGATTCCTGGAGGATTGCAGTGGCTCCAGCCCCCCGCCCCTCCCCCCCATAGGGCACATCACTCTACAAGAAGTCAAGCCCTGTGCATGTCACTGTCCTGCTCAAACACCAGCAGTGGCTCCCCTGTGCCCACCAGTCAGATAAGGCCAGCTTCTCACCGGCAGGAATCATCTGTTCCTTCCAAACAGGGCTCCTTCCTAAGAACACATTGTGCTTGAGTCTCTCTCCCTTTGAAAATGACGTCTTCCCTTCCAAGTCCAACCTTGCTTCTACAAAGCACCTCTCAGTTCTCTTCTATACCCAGCCCTTAGTGGGTCTTGGTCTCCTTCAGATACGTGCAACCCTCCAGGCCTGATCAGGACCTTCATGTCTTTGTCACTAGAAGGCAGCAACAGTGTCTTAGGTAGGGCATTGTGGCACCTGACACCCAGGGTCTGTCTGGCCCTGCCCAGCACACTACAGGTGTCGGATATGTGCTGGTTGAACTGAGACCCTTTGTCCTGTCTAGAGGTTGAAGGGACAGGTGGGCTGAGTCACCTCACAGGCTGGCTCGGGTGGCAGGCCTTGCTGTGTTGGCTCAGCATCACTTGGGATTGGTCCTGCAAGGCCTCCACATGCTCAGGATCTTTCAGGCCCCTCGTTTCTAGAAAGAAGCAGCGACAGTGAGGTCCTCCCCGGCATCTCTACCAGCCTGCCCTGCCCCCAGACAATCAGCCCAGGCCTGCCCCTCTCCTGGCCTGCACACTTCTGGTCCCTGTGGGGTGGGGAAGGGAGAGCGGGAGGCAGAGAAAAGACACTAAGCATCCTGATCCTACCTCCTGGCCATTTCTCTGACAACTCAGAAAAAGACTCAGCTACCTGGTTTGAAGAGGACCAGAGCCTTCATGCAGGCAAACTCTGTGGGGTCCACCGACAGAGCTCGGAACCGCGAGATAGTGTCTTGCAGGATGTGCGTCTCCAGGCTGGCTAGCCTGAGCTGTCCTTGAGAGCCGCCTGAAGCAGGAGCCTCAGGCGAGGCCAGTAGAGGGCAGCTGTCCAGAGGCAGTGACCACTGTATGGCTCCAAGGAGGAAGAGCTCACTCCATGCCTCCTCCAGCAAGATAACCTGTACTCGGAGAGGGTGAACTCAGAGAGGTAAGCCCCTCGGGCCCAGCCTGGAAGTGCTGCCACCTTCTGGGATGCCCCTGGAACAGCAGTGTTGGACCTGGGGGCCCAGAACATTCTCTCTCTTTTTAAAAATATCCTCTGTGAAACCCTTATGTATTTGTGGGTATACTCTCACTCTGCTTCCATATCCATTCATCCTGTGTATGTCCAGAACATTCTCTTAACCTCTGCCTATAAGAATCTCCCTGCCCTGGACTTCCATTCAGCCACAGCCCAGAACTCTGGGATTTGGTATCATCTGCCCAACTCTTAGACACTCTGGCCTCCATCCAGAGTTGTAAGTGGAACCTTTGGAGTGATTTCCATGGAATAAAGGCCTGGCAAACTGCCAAGAAAACCCTAAGGTACGGTTCTGGTCTGTAGCACACGAGGCTGCTGTGAGTCAGGAGCCGGTTCAACAACAGATAACAACAACAACAACAACAGCAGAGTGGGGCAAGTGGTTTCCACGCTTGGCTGCTGACCTAAAGGTTGGAGGTTCAAGTCTACTCATAGCGGGTTCCAAAGACAAAGCTGTCACTCTGCTTCTGAAAAACTCAGCCAGTGACAGCTCTATGGAACATGCAGTTCTACTCTGACCCACATGAAGTCGCCATGAGTCAGGGTTGACTTGGGGGCATCTGGGAAGACCATAGAGGTGAGGAGTCCTGAAGTATCCTAACAGGAATGTCCAAGAGACTCAGCCGGACACCCTCCAAACACACAGATCCGATGAAGGGCCCAGACCTTCTACTGTCCTGTCCAAGAGACATTCAAGAGGTGATGTGGGTGAGCTGAAACTCAAGCCCTGGAGTCAGAGGGCTTGTGTTCCAAAGGAGCCCAGAGTCTGCCATAGGTGCTGTTCAGGGTGCCACATACACAACCCTGTGCACGTGTCTAGGAGGAAGAAGACCCAGGGGAGCATAGGCAGTCTTCTACTCCCTGGTCTCTGTGTATCCTGACTGTCACTGACTCAGGGACACGCACCTCCAATCATCACCTTCACACACACACACACACACACACACACACACACACACACACACACACACACACGTGCCCCAGCAGATCAACCTAGCAGGCAAGCAGGCAGCAGCAGCCTGTACCTGGTCTCGGAAAGACAGATTGGAGAACACAGGCAGGTTCTTGGCCCACTTGACAGCCATGAAGAGCAGGTGGGCCTGGATGCTGCAGGGCGGGGAGGAGTATGGGGACAAGGGGAGCTCGGGCTCATTGCTGGTGACATCGGTGTGCTCATCCGCTGTGGGAGGAGAGGCGAGGCTTCAGGCCGGAGGGGGCAGGGAGGGCAGGGGTCTGGGTAGGGGTCACCAGGCGGGGCGTGAGCTTCCACCACAGTCTGGGAAACAAAGGTGCAGAGTGAGCCCACCCAGCGCCTCCCACTCACCATCCTCAGGCTTCAGCTTAACACAAGTTTCAGCGGTTAGGAGGCTAGCCATGAAGTGGTGATGTCCTGCAGGTGTGAAGGCCTCAGGCCCCAGGGCTCTGGTCACGGACACTGGTGTGGGGCCCCGTGGACGGGCCATCAGGGACTCTGGCCAGGGCTCAATGTCTGGCTCCAACAGAATCTGGGCTGTGCTCCGGGGTTGGCGCTCATTCTGAACCGCTGGGGAAGTAGGAAGGGTCAGCACACTCCGTAGGTCACACTCGCCCTTGGCTCAGGCACCCCCACTCGAGGGCTCCCCAGCTCACCATCCTGGTTCATGCCTTCCTGCAAGCACTTCTTCAGCCGGCAGGCCTGACACTGGTTCCGGTGGGCCTTGTCCACTGGGCACATCCCTGCACCCACCTGGCACCTGCAGAAGGGGAGCCCCCCCACCCCCATGGGTCAGTACCCTGCCTAGGCCCTGTACCAAGAAGGGAACTTTTTGGCTCTAGCCTCTTCTTCTCTGAGCAGCCTCATGGGTCTCGGTCCGCCCCTACCTGTAGATGAGCCTACGTCGGATGCTTCTCTTGAAGAAACCACTGCAGCCGTTGCAGGCATAGATGCCGTAGTGCTTCCCACTGCTGTGGTCTCCACACACTCGGCACTGGAGCGCCAGGCCCTGGCCTGCAAAGGCAGGGCCAGGTGGGCTGGGCAGGGCCCCACATTGCTTCCCTAGTCCACCTCCCTGTCCACCCCATGTCAGCACATCCAGCTTCTCCCTGCTGCCGCCCTCTGACCCTCCTCTGTCTGTGGCCCCCTTTCAGCATCATTTCCAGTCTTACTAACCCCACTGTCCCTTCTTTCTGCAGAGGCCACAAACACTCTGGGGACAACCTCTCTGGAGACCTCTCTGCTCTTAAACCCTGTGGCTGCTCTTCCCATTCCTGTCAGCTTAGTCACCCCTCCTGGTTCTGATGAACCACGTGTTTCTAAACATCTGTGATGACCAGCCAGTCCCTGCCTCCACACCACCCAAAGTCCTTGAGGCTGAACCTGAGGCACTTTGGCTCCTTCCAGACTCCCTACAGGTGCACTCACACCTGGTTTTACCTCCAAAATGAGCCTTACCTGTCAGATCCTCCCTCAGGCCCCAGCTACCTGGAGACTCCTTTATGGAGGCAGCTACAGTCGCAGGCGCAGTGGCAACCACTCTGGAGCTCATGGGCACTGTTGGGGCCTGGGCCTGGACCTGGACTCTTTCAGGGCAGCCTCTGACTTCCTCCCACTTTGCTGAGCAGAGTCAGCCTCTGATGCCCTCTCTCCCTCTTGCTGTCTCGATTCCCCCTTCTCCCGGGCCCTGGCTATCTCCCTCTGCCTTTGTCTCTCCCCCACTGCCTCTGTCTGTTACTCTCCTCTCTCTGAACTCAGGAGGCACCCAGCTTCCCAGAACCCCTTCAGGGCAGCACTGGCTGTGGGAGACTTCTCCCGGGGCAGCGACTGGATGCAGTGTGTGATCCTCTTAATCTTTACTGTCTCCACAGGGGATCAACTAGCCACACCTGCAGTGCACCCAAGGTGCCCCCGAGTCAAGCTGGTTGGTCCTGCTGCCCCCACGGCAGCTCCCAGGCCGCTCAGTGTCCCCAGCTCTCCAAACTCTGAAGGGAGCTGTGGGTTCCACTCCCCAAAAAGACTTTTTGAGTTTTCTGAGCTGCTCTTCATCCCCAAAAGGACTTTTTGAGTTTTCTGAGCTGCTCTTCACATGTCCAAGGGCTGGTGTATGTGGGTGAACCTGTATGGCCTCAAGTTCTTTTGGGTTCTCACACAAAGCCATTGATAAGGATTTGAGGGCACTGGCCTCCCCAGATGCCTGGCACAGAGGAGGGCTCCCATCCACCACACATGGGGTAGGGTCTGGGCCCGACCTTAGGCTGAATGCCCGGGTCTCCATATGGACGTAGTGGGCATGGAACTGGCAGAGAGCTGGCATGCAGGACAGGAAGGAGCTGAGGGCATGGCCCCATTGAGCCTGGCTAAGGGCTCTCAGTCACCTCCCCTTCCTGTCCTGACTTGGTCTCTCAGTCACAGGCAGGCTGGCTTCTGTTCTGAGGGGAGAAGAGGACAGGAGGACTAAGTCCCAGGTAGCCCCAGCAGGAAACAGAGAGAAGAGAGACAAGTTCAAATCCCTGCTCTCACACAGAGCAACCAGACAGGCGTCTTTGAGCAAGAGGCTTAACCAGCCTGCAATTCAATTGTTCATGCTGTTGGGAAAACAAAATGAGATCATTTATGAGGCTGGTTTCAGTGCCTTCTCGGTTGTTCTTCTTAAGTGCTGTCTATTCAGTTCTGATTCATAGCGACCCTGTATAGGGTTTCCAAGGAGTGGCTGGTGAGTTTGAACCGCCAACTTTGAAGTCGAGTGCTTATCTCATGGTGCCACACCAGTGCCTTAGTACAAGTGTATACATGGGGGTGCATTATTATGGCCACATCTTGAGGTTGTTGAGAAGATTCCAGAGAAATAACAGGAAGAATTGCCTTTCTCTTTCTCTCATCCCATCCCCCAACCCAAAGCCCAGGACTGAGCAGAAAGCTCCTATTAGTGTCAAGGGACCACCCATCAGCTGCCCTAAGCTCATCTTAGAGCCTGTGGGGGGAGGGTTAGAGACTTGGGAAGCTTCTGGAAGGATCATGGAGTTAAGGGCCCTTATGTAAGTGAAACTGACCCTCTCTGTGACAGAGAAGCACTCCTGGGGATTTGGAAAGTCAGCTCCAGGGTCTTTGTGGGGTAATCTGCTTTCTGGGGCCTCAGGAGATCAAGGCCACAAGGTTGAGGCCTCTCACCTGACCTCTTGGGCCTCTGTCCTCCCCATCCTTTCTCCTGCCATCAGGCCCTTGGGGACCCTAGAGCTGGCAAAGCTCCACCTAACCACCAACACCAAGAGCATTTTCCTTGACCTCGATTGCTCCTTCTCTCCTTCTCAAGACTGTCTCCTTTTTTCTGGAACACGAGTCTTCATCATCTTCTGCCCGTTTACTCCCTCCTCCCCCAAGTCGCCCCCACAGACCTTACCACTGTCTCCTTGGATCACTTCATATCAGACTCTGCCTAGAACTTCCCCAGACCAACCCATCCCCAACTTGTGTGCACAGACTGAGAGCAAGACTGGAGATATGTGGACCAGAAGGAAAGAGCCCGAGGCTGAGCCAGAGGACCTGTCACCCCTCAGACCCTCAGAGGGGAAATCAGGGCAGCACCGGACAGGGAGGCTTCCAGGATGGAGTGTTCTGTGAGGGCATTCGTATTGCCAGTAACCAGAGGGCTCGCCCATAGACTTACAATACAGCAGGAGCTGTGCTGGGGGCGACGGCAGCCCCCAGCAATGTCTGGGGGAGGAGGCAGTGGCATCTTCTCTGTCTGTGACTACCAGCTGCTGGGGCAGATGCCAAAGGATTACTTAGCCTAAAGCCTTGAATCTGCTGACGAAGCTGGCAGAGGCCTCCTTCCCACTAATGCAATTATTCCCCATGGGACAGGTCAGCAACTTCCTGTGACTTCCTGGAGACCTAGGGAGGGGGATGGAGGTAGGGAGGTGACCTGCCAAGGAGAAATCAGGATTTTACCCACATGGAGGTAGGGGTGCGGGTCCTGGCTTCTGGTGTATAGGCCTGGGCTCTGGAAATGCATTTTCTGGGATTTATTTTTTAGATGTTCTTTTTTTTTTTTTCCCCCTTCACTATCTTTGTTGTTGCTGTTGTTAAGTGCTGTGGAGTCAGTTCCGACTCATAGCAACCCTGTATAGGGTTTCCAAGGAGTGGCTGGTGAGTTTGAACTGCCAACCTTGTGGTTCAAAACGACTTTGCAGGCCAATGCTTTAGCTCACAGTGCCACTATCTTTGAGAAAGCATATAAAACCAGTAGTTGGTGACTCAGATTCATGGTGTCCCCATGTGTGTCAAAGTAAAACTGTACTCCATAGAATTCTCCACGGCTGAATTTTGGGGTGTAGCTCGCCAAACCTTCTGAGGTGCTTGAACCTTTAACCCTTTCAGTTTGCAGCTGAACCCAAGCATATTGTTTGCATCACCAAAGACTCCCTGAGAAAGCCTAGCTCATGGTGAGGGCATACAGCTTCGGAGCTTGGTACCCAGCGATCCCACTTCTAGGGAACTACCCTGTGGAAAGGATGGCAGAGATTTAATTATATGCATGCCTTCCCCCGCCCTCCCCACTTCACCCCCCAGCACTTTGTGTAAAGCATCCACAGAAGCTATATTCACCCACATAGAAATATGCCCGCCATGTTTCAATGTCAAAGCCTGTTACGAAACCACATGTATCCTTTGACTTAAGGTGTGTCAGGAGACTTTCTCCTTGGCAGGACCTACATTAATCAATAGTTCCTTTTTCTGAAGCAGGAAGTGGAAGAGGCAGCCTTCAGTAGGAGAAGTTACATGGACAAAGCTTCTTTATTTTCTTTGCAAGATAATATTGAGAAATAATCAGACATTCGCAGTCCTTGCCTAGTAAAGCGTTTCTCCTTGATTATTTTGAAGGCCTGAGAAGAACTAGCTAAGCCTCTGAGCCTACTCAAGGACAGCCAGACAAACAGAAGTCTGCTGGCAGCCATTCCCCATTACTGCTGCCCACCTTAGGGCTAACTCCCTTCTTTAGAACGGTGGTACAATGTTGCTGCTAAGTGCCATTGAATGGGTTCCAATTCATAGTGACCCCATACCAGGTTTCTGAGAAGTGGCTGTTGAGTTTGAACTGCCGACTTTGTGGTTGTTGTTGTTGTTGTTAGGTGCCATTGAGTTGGTACCGACTCATAGCGACCTTATGCACAGCAGAATGAAACACTACCTGATCCTGGGCCAACCTCATTACTGTTGCCACGCTTGAGTCCATC